TCTACGCTGTACCATATACTTATCTCATGGTCAGCATTGGATTTCATAACAGCTGGTAAGCTGGTCATAACTTCCCTCTTCTGATTATAGCTGCAGAAATTGTGCTGAATGCACTTACTGTTTCTCCACTGGACCTCACAATTGTATCCATACACAGTCATACAACAGAGCAAATACAATTATGAGGCTTACAGGGTGAAATCTAATCACTTTCTGCCGAGTTTGATGACAAGGTAAAGTAGAGCCCAGACTCGAGATCATATTACTTATTATACTGATGGAACCAAACCTAAACCGCATCAGCTGTGATAGCTTGTCTGTTTCTTCACAAGGTCAACCTGCTGCAGGAAAACCACAATAAATGAATTAGTCAGATGAGCTTCTTTCTTTTATTCTTTCAAAGCTTCTTCTTGTAGTTGGTTATAAAGTTACCCTGGAGGTATTTGATCAGTAAGTGAAAGCACTGCAGAACGCAACATTGCTGAGTGAAAATTTATTCTTATAGCGTGTAAAAAGCGAAACTTACTTTTTTATAGCATGCTGCATGCAATAAATTACATTGGACATTATTTATTGCAATTAATGTGGTTTAGCCAAGGACTGCAGAATAAAAGTGTGTGTGTGTGTGTGTGCATGCCGGTGAGGCTCAGTGTGTTTGCCCCCTCATTACAGGCAGGATTAACCATCAGGAAGGCTCACAGTTCCCTCTGAGCCCTTGGAGGGGTGAAACAAGGAAACATCCTCAGAGACATGTTTTATTCACCCACGTCTCAGTTAATTTTCACCTCTCTTCCGTCCTGACGCGCACGCGTCAGCTCTGCCTCGGCTTGCCCTCCCACTGTTTACCTCTCATTGTGGAACACATGAATCAATAGGCGACACAAAGGAACAGAAAAGGATGCTATTGAGTTAGCGGTAATGGCACACTGATGGAAGTCTAAATGGTTTGTTTACAACCATAAGCTGCAAAAAATATTCACAACTGGAGGGCAAAGTCTGACAAGGACTGTTTATTGGTTTGTATAGAACTATTGAGCAGAAAAGCACGGTGAGGTCTCATTATTATTAGCTATGAGCTCCCTCTGCTGGCTTAATATGCTTCATAGGGTGGGAGTTTTGGGAAATATTAATTCTGTGATTGTTTTCCTCTGCTGTCATGAGGTATTCATCAGTGGGTTGGAACTTTCAATTTGAACTGAGACATTTATTTCTGTCTTTTTTTTGTTTTTTTGTTTTTTCCTTTCCTAATCTAAGGGGATCATCTTTTAAATTCTAATCTCCTGTAGTAAGGTTTCAGGGGAGAAACCAAGACAGACAATTTGAACGTGCTATTTCCTCTATTGGCTGGCTCAGATTGACTGTATGATTGCAGGTTCTATTCACAGCTGCAGCTGCTCATGGAAAACAGTTATTATTGCTGCTTAGTTTGAAAGAAGTATTGAAGAAAAATGCAGAGAGGATCATTTTATTTGAACTCAAGCCAAGTAAGAGTGACTGTCTGTGAACAGAGCTGAATTTAAAAGAGCTCAGTCAGATTATGAAACCTCAATGTCAATGTGAAAATCAACAAAAGTGGGTTTTTTTTGGTCACAGATTTGATAACGATTATGATATAATGCATTTTGTTGATACTCCTTTTTCTTTGATTCTCCTTTGTAATTGTTTTATTCATCCCTATGTTTCCTTCCATCGGTTATCATCAGAGTTTCTTCTTTCTATTTTCTCCCATAGTATTTACTAGTTTCTCCTCAGTTGCCCCAGCTTGGTTCCCTCCCAACTGACACATCACTTAATTAGATTCACCTGATCATCGTCCCCTTAATTACCCTCTTTTGTATTTTTACTTTTGTGTTCTTTTATTTGTTGTAGAACTTTCCTGTTTCCTGTGTGCCTCGGAGGTTTTCTCCCTATTGATTTATTTTCCTTTGTTCCCTGCTGCGCACTTTTCCTCATTTGTCTTTCGTTATTAAATCACTCCCAGTATAGTAATGCCTACCTCCTGCCTGTGTGGTGGTCCTTCTCAAAAACCACAAATGACAACTATATCTGGCACAACATCTTAGATCAGTGGAATATGAATTAATATGCATAAAACAGCGTGAAAAGCAAGGATTGGAATATTAGTTGTGAGCTAACCCGTCTAGAGCTTGTTTGTGGTTTGATTTGCAGCGCTCCCACTCATCCAGCCATCTGTCAAATAATCTAAAGGCGTCCCTGACCTGACATAATCACTGTAGCAACAATTTACACCTGCTTAGCAAAGTATCTCCATTGTTTTTGTAAATAAATGCAACAAAGGTGGAATGGGTTAAAACAATTTCCAATATTTCACATCAAGCTGCATTAGTTAGTGAAGGCCTGCAAATAGGTTTTAATAGCATGCTCTAAAATGACCATATCTGTTTTATTGATTTTATATTGTTAGGAAAAGAAGCCATATTATTGTCAGGCCTGCTTTGTTGCCTCCCCAGGCAACAGTGGTGATGCTTCTGCCTCTGTAAAAAAAAAAAAAAAAAAACTGATCTATTTGCTGAAGAAATATTTTTAAAACAGCACTGTAAAGCATTTGTTTTTATACTGGATGTAATATTTAGACATTGCATACCTTCCTGAGAAAAAAATGTCAAAAATGTTCAAAATCTTTGAAAATGCAGCATTTAAGTTGGAAAATAGAAATTGAAGACTTAATTTGAAATATTTTTTTTGTATTACTATAAAAAAATAATCAGAGATTTAGGTTAGAGGATGACTAGTCAATTAATTAAATGACTTACATTTCTACAAAACTGATATAGATAAAGATTATTTTACCATATTCGCTACTCCTTCCACACTTCTCACAATGTTCCTTGATCGTTTGCAGTCGAAATGTAAGCGGTGCAGAAACTAACCTTTTAGTATTTCATATTGTCAGACACTACACCTTTACTCCTCTGATTAGTTTTTGCTTCTTTCTTTTTTGTCTTTCACATTTCTCCTTGGATATATGTCTATATGCATGCTCTATACATACTTACATTTCACCTCAACAAATTATCATGACCAATATTTGCTTTCATGATTGTCTTCAGACATGGTTAAGGGTCTGTGTTGTCCTGTGATGGTACAGTCCAGGGTGTACCACACTAGAGATTGGAACCACGGCCCTGCAAAATGAGCAGAGATGGATGGATGGATGGATGGATGGATGGATGGATGGATGGATGGATGGATGGATGGATGGATGGATGGATGGATGGATGGATGGATATCTGCTTTGCATCATAACATCACCCTCTGGAGGCTGTATTGATTATGAGCAAAATAAGGTTATTTATTGAAGGTTTTAGATTGACAAGAAGAGGGAAGAAACCTGACTCATGTTAATTTTGCAATAATAAGAGTCTCTGAGTTAACTTGTTGAGGAACTAAGTACAGCTGTAAAAATAAGATTACAATCCCTACCTGTATCTTTAGCTATTTTTAACAGTAATTGTACTGTCTTACTTTTTTTTTTTTAACCTTTGTTTTAATTTAAATTTTCTAACTTGCAGGTTCACGATTTTAACCTACATGCATGTATTCAATTCTTCTGGAGCTTGAGCTGCTACTGGAGCTGCCATACTGGTTCTGCATTTCTTTTGTGATCCATCTTTCTCAGGGCTGGATATGTCTGTGTTTAGATTTTGATGGTCTGATAAAACAGTCAGAAACAGTCAGTAAAATTGTGTCAGTTCTCCATAACCACAGCTGGTGTTACTCATCGAAGGGATTCTTTGCAAAGACATGTGTTTTCAGTATTGCACATGCACAAAACCATAAGTTGCGTGGACTTTAAATTAAATATGAGAAACAAAAATGTTATAGAAGCAATAAAATAATTTATTTCAGAATAGTTACAAGGTAATAAATTGAACTAAAAATAAAATCCACTTTTTTATGACCCGTGGTGCTTTGTGTGGCAAATGCACAAATGTATTTGAATATTAAGTAACAGTTTTCATTTGTATGTTGATTATATTGTGTGGTATGAAGAGGCTGAGATGCCATGCATTGATGAGGTGATCATAATAGGATATTTCTGTATGTCACCGATGATGATGGAAAAATGGTTTTCCAGTAACGGACAGTTGTTTCTCCACTGTCAGTGCAGACGGAGCAAGCCGGCAGCACATGCACAAACATGATTGACAGTGCTGAGACCTTCCTCCTGAAAGGTTTTGTATGTATTTCTGCCGATGTCAGTAGGACCACAGGGAGGAGACAGAGGAGCTCAAATGTTTCACAGACTCTCTGTCTCGTGTTTTACTGTCACAACATAGTGACAGTTTTAACAAATATGTGAAAAACATAATTTTTAAGTTCCCTACTGGAGCTTTACTTTTTCTTTTCTCTAATGTATGTTTTACATTACTTTACAAACATGTGAAAAGCATTTGGCCACTTTAAAATGCTTGCTTGCAGTAATTCATAAAACCTTTTATATTTACTTCTTTGATTGAAATGTTTGATATTTTTTTTCATCCTGTGTAAAAAGAAAAAAATTTCTGCACTTTTTCTTTTCTGAGAGTCCATACTGGTGTCCATTTGCCCTTGAGTGTTAAGTGACAACCAATTTAAACCAGTAGTTATCTTATTGAACACTGGATGGCATTGTTGCTGTTCAGGAAATGTGGAATTTGCAGCAGCATTTCATTTTACTTTACAACCTCAAGAGAAGGTGCTCATATATGCATTACATGTATTTTACATAGTAAAAATTGAATATCTGATGCCTTCATGTTTTGGTCTCATGTTGAGATTCTAACCCTGATGTACAACACAGAGAAGCTGCTTTGTCGAAAGAGTTTTCTTGCTACAGGCGGAAGTCATCGCACACACCACCTTTCATCTGTCACACCATGCTCCTTGACTGAACCAAAAAAAAAAAAAAGTAAAGAAAGTTATAAAACACTACAAAAGAAGCTTTGGACTAGAGCTGAATTCGTGAAAGTCTCAGGAAGGTCAATAAACTGATTTCAAAATATGTAATCCTTTATTTATTTCAATGTTTGTGAGATGGAATCATAAGGAACCAAAACATTCATCAGCAGAGGAGCAGAGACGTCTTCAGCAGTCTGCTTCAGGTTAACAGTTCTGTTTATACACTTTTCCCAACATATCCTGGGAAAAGTGGTCCAACTGGATTTTCCAGGCTGGCTCTCACTCACACATCCAGCTGCACCTGTATTTTGCCGTGGACACCGGACACCGTCGGCCGCTGAGTCACAGAGGAACGCCATCGTCATGTCTGGGTAGAGGACGGTTCACCAGACCGATGATGAATGCATTACTCAGCACTGGATTTCCCATTACTTTGCTGAAGTTGTGAATTATCAGTCATAGCTGAATCCAAGAAAATGGTAAGAGATAAGTCAGTCAGTAGTTATGGGTGTTTTGATTCTATTTATGAGATAAATTTAAAATTCCCAGAATTTAGGCGTCTTTCCCCGAAGCCACTACTCCCTTTTTCACTCACTGATATAATAAAACACATCTTAGTATGCTGACTGGGGTCTCACAGTTTTCATGCAAATTTAAAATGTATATCAGACACAAAGATTGATGTATTACATTTCATTTAAATGGCTGGTGACTACTAACCAAAGGTTTTTGTCATGCCAGAAATGTTTGTATTCTGCTCACACAAAATTGGATAAATTAGTACAATTAAAAATGATTATTACTTGAAATACAGTACATGTATTCATGCTTTTTTTTTAAATCAACACGTTGCCAAAAATAAAATTAATGCAAAGTTGTTGTTTTTTTTTTTTTTTTCTGAAAATAAAATTCTCCTCATTATGAGAAAATTTTGCTTCATGCCCCCCAAAAAGAAAAGTGCATGTTTTGAAAAAACAATTCTATCCCCATTCGAATTCTTATGGCAGAGGGGGAAAAAAAAAACAGTGCTTCACTTTTCGAGAAGAAGGGCTGGAGTATTGTTTTTGCTGATCCAGCAGTGTCAGTAGCCTCCTCTTGTTTGTGACCTCTGTCAGATGACAGTGAAGGTCTCCAATAAGCAACAACGTTGGTGAGCAGAACTCACTGAACTGTCTCTTCCAATCGCAGTCGCTTCGCCTCCTCCTGAAAGAAACAAGTACCTTCCCATAGCAATTCCTGCCCTGCTCTCTAATTGTTTTCTGTGCTCTGCTGCGTCTCTACTCACCATTGCTCTTTTTTAGCAGCAGCAACAACTTCGACACCTTTACCCTCCTTTTAATGTCACTTGTGTCGCTGACTTCCAAGTTAGTCACGAGTGTTTGAAATAAAACCTTATTTGGAACGAACTCTCAGGCACAAAACGCTCTTGTGTCACATGCAGCATCTCCAGGGAGGACAGCAGCAGCAGCACAGCTGTCGAATCGGGTTCTTCTTCTTATATCTTGCAGCCGCCTTGAACTTCTCGTTAGTTGCAGCCACGTAATCTTGTGTTCGCTCAACATTAGTTTGAATGTGTTCAATGTCAGCCCCTTGTTCCTCTACAAGCATGAAGATATCCATGAAGAGGTCTCTTAGTTCTTTCATGTTGTTCTCCAAGCTCAAGAGTTCCTGGGTGTGGAGGAAGATAACATAAATATTATAACAGACATAAAAAGGGACATTAGTTAGGTAATGGAGATCATAATCTAAAAACTCTTAAAGTGACCTTGTCTTGGACTTTGATTTCTTTTTTTCTTTTTTTTCTTTTTTTTTTTTTACATTTTGAAAGATTAATTGACAAGCTTTTGTCCTCCTCAGGCCTCTTTACCTTGGATTAAGAGCACAACATTAAAAATCAGCCAGAACATGAATAGTCTGCGCTGAGTCTTCTAGAGGTTTGCTGTGGTGCATACAGTGAACTCCCCATTGTGCATAATGGAGTGCATGATTTTTTTTTTTTTTTTTTTTTTTTTTTCGAAAACCTCCCACAACAAGCCACCCTTTTTCC